AGGTGTTCAGGGACTGTGTGAAAGTTTCTGGCTTCGTTATTCAGGGCACCTCCTGGGAGGACTATAAAATGCCTTTTCAGAAATTTGCAGTATTTCACATTTTCAACTAGAAAACCAGCTGAAAATCCAAAAAAAGTTCAAATCTATTGATGCTGTAACCTCGGATAACTTTAAATGCGAAAGCAATGTTTACCAAATTTTTAAGCTCATGACAGATTTTATTTTATTTTATTCAATTCAATTTTTCCTTTTCATGGGAAGTTTTGGTGCAGTTTTACACCAGCTGTGGAAAGTGTTCGAACCTTCTCTGTCAGTTTTATTTGGTAGCCCGCCCACCACTCTCTAAGATTCATGGTTGAAAATGATGATCACATCGTCTGGAAAGAGAAAACCTTTGTTTTATATCTCAGAAGAAATACATTCAGTAAGACTGTTTTTATATTATTTATTATTTTTCATGTTTTCTATATTTAATATGTTTTTGTTGGTACTTTATAAATGATAATTTGTGTATTTCAATGTTTTATTTATGAAACAAATGAAGGTTTTATTGTTATTTGACGTGTTAAATGTTAAATGTCTAGCACTACGAGCTCACAACTCAAAGTTTACTCAATTTATAAAAATAGTTATTTGTCTCAAAAGGATCGAAATGTGAAACACAACATGGATAAGTCACAATCCATGTTCAATTAGTGTATGAAAACAATAGTATTAATATAAATAATAGTATAATATAATTTATGGTACACTAACGGTAGCTTATATTTTATATTACATTTAATGTGTTTTTATTGCAATATATATTTGTTTCTTAAAAAACCCATCTAGGGACTAGCACTGTCATTTAGGTAAGGCCATAAATGTTTTTAGGCTACTCTGCATTTTTTAAACCTACCCAAGTAAAAGTACCAGGTTAATAAATCACTCAGAGTATTGCTGATTATGTGATTACTACTGCCGTTATAAAGGAAATGTTAATGTTGAAGTTGGCATTACGTTAGCGTAACTGCTTTCTAAAGCGCACCAGTTTAAAAGCCAGACCACTCTGATATGATCAGTTAATGTCATTATAATAACATCCAAGATTAATGTTACCTCAAAACATAGCTAACATTAGCTAGCTCTCTACATTTTCACCTACAGTGTGTGCAACTGTCGGCCGTAAACGAGTGAACGATGGGAGCCGGCTCATATCTGAGAGCGGACTGTGTTTAAGAAATGGATACACAACAGAATATATATATATATATATATATATATATATATATATACACACGCTGTGTGTCAGGCACCAAGTGCAGAGGGGGCACCAAANNNNCATTTATGGTCGCACTTCTCTGTCTCTCTCCTCTGCAGGACTGAGGACAGGACCCAGCTCCACACACACACACACACAAACACAGAGCAGAGAGCGGTGCAGTTTGAGTTGATGACAACTCAGGTACAAAGTAGAAAAAGTAGAAAAAAATGTCACCTGCTCTGCAGTTGCTGTTACAAACATGTTAATCTAATTATGATTTAGGAAAAAGATTAAAGGAAACTGTGTGTAGTAGTCTGTTATATTAGTTTGCCACCAATATAAGAGGACAAGAGGAAGAAATATTATTTATTTTTTAGATTTGTTTCCAGTAAGTAGTACTAGTATTGAGTTTATATCGTGACTTTGCTGTTTCTGCTCTAGAAACAATATTTAGTCAGAATAAATGTATAAATGCATTCTAATGTCAGAGTGTAATATGAAAAAACTATGATCTGTGTGGGTTTTTAAATAAATACTAAAACGATAACAGTCTAAAGTTATGTGAAACTGCATAGTTTTTAGTCAAATAAAACTGAAATTGGCCAGCAGCGGCCCTGCATATTTGTTCAATACAATCCAGAAATGTCTCACTTTGGTAGTAACATTACGACCTAAGCATGGTGAGACTTTATTATGTAAAACATAGTTTAATATAAATAAAACTATAGGCTACATGTTTAACAGTGATTGATCTCTTGACATTATTTATTTACAGTGATGGTATTCTGGAAATTATAAGGTTTAATATAATTACATTGCACAATTTAAATGGAACATTTGGCCACATACCAATCATAGGTCAAAATATTGCTAAATTTGGCTTAATTATAAAAGAAATGGTACTAAATGAAGGGCCGTTCTTATTGCTGTGGTGAGCAGAAATAAACCGAGTAACTGAACAGAGCCAGAATTCCCATCACTAGCACAGAGGTTAGAGGAGGAGTTTTTAAAAGACTCTGAGATGTCAGAGGTTGTTTTGGAGGCACGGCAAGAACTTAAAGATTTCCTGCTTTACAATCTAAGAAGCCAAAGAAGAGGTCAAAGTCAAAGCCTGGATAATGACTCAACCTTTTATTTTCGTTGGGACCCAGTGTAAGTGAGCCGATTTCCTCCGTCAGGTATCTCTGTTGTTCAGTGAGGCAGTTTTAAAGGAAAGACAAGATACTGGGGGGACGACTTCAACCAGACAGTAGTTTTAATGTCTGTCACGTATTATCTGCTCTGCTCCGCNNAGAACTAGTGGACCAACCCTGCAAGAGGTTTTCTCAAATAATTTCACAAATTAATCTTTAATATCTGACCATTGCTGTCTGGTAAATAAAACTCATAAAAACAGCGAGTTGATGGGTGGACATGCTAATGACGTTTCCTGTTTACAATGGATGAGCCAATCCACCATGCTCGCATGTGGCCACTAATTGAGACATTTTCCCTGACAAACGTCTGATTGAGACATTTGTCAGCGCAAACGCTACACAACAAATACACAACAGGAGGGTTTAAATGCATTTATGTTGCAGGGTTGCTGTTGCCTTATTTTTTTATAGTCAACAAATTCCATGAAAGGACTAAAACAAACAACATGTTAGTCCGTCTCTCAAAGCGTTCTGACTTCCTTACGCTGTCTGCGATAAATCCGCTGGTACCTACCGAAGACGTACCGCTTTAAAACGGCTCACAAATATAGTTTTATTTTCAATAAAGTGCTCTGTAATTTCCTACAGCAGCTGGCCACTGTACTTTTTAGCAAACGTTACTGAAACAGTAATAGTCCGCTCAACTCGGACACAGTTGTGCAGTACAGAACACACACACACACACAGGCAAAATCAGGAAGCGGGATCTTGTATCACTAATGCACTTAAATAAACACACTATAATCCCCAAATCATTACAAAGCATGCTGCACGTTTATTCAGATTTCACAGTAACTAGGTTACTATACGAAAACATGTCCAATTTCCTGTCTAACGTTATTATTGTTAGACCTGGTTTTTTTGAGCGTGCTGATACATAAGGAAAATAGTGCACAGGAAAACAGCCCCACTGTCAGAAATTGAAGACGTTACAGGCTTCACTGTATGCAGTACAAATACAGTTTAACAGACTAAATGAAATTAAAATCTAACACGTTATGGTTTACAGAGCGATCATTTCCAAGATGTTAAGATCACAACAAAGGATGAACATATCCTTACAAGACAGTCTTAACTTTTATCTGTTTTCTACGGTGGAGAGCGTAAAAAGGAGTGTTGAGAAAGTGTTTTACATCTGGACATAATTGCTAAGGGTCAGAAGATTATATCTATTCTCAGGGTTATATGATCCTCTGAATCCTCCTTGTTAAATGCCAATGTGGAAGTCTAAGCTTAAATTGTGCTCAGAATCAGCTACTAACAAAATGTTAAACACATGTTTCGGTCATCCGAGTGTGTTAATAGCAGATAAGTGGCTGGATGATGCGGCTTAGGGATTGTTTTTTCTTTCTTCACCTCAAGGCATCAGCGGGATGAGACCCTGGAGGAAAAGCAGTGATCAGATCTCAGAGGGACAACTTCAATCAACCATCAAGTTGCTGATTGAAGTTCTGCTCTTTACCCAGAATTCCCCATGAACAACAAACACCATGTAACACAGGTTTACAGCAGACACCAACAGTAAAGTTACGTACAGAGTTTAAGGCACTGTCAGTGACCGTTATTGTGTATTAAGCCATTTATACATTTTATCACCATTACTGTCATTATTATGCAATAGAGAAAAAGTTTTAATTGTATATATTATATATATTACAGATAAATCCTTAATTACCCTATATTATTATTTTAGATTATTATTTTATGAGATCTGTTACATTATGCATTATACTTAAAGCTCATAAAATGTCACACGATGTAAATATTATTTAGAATCTAATGAATTTCAACTGCAGTTATCTAAAGCTTAAAGAGACCTCTTATTGAAAAGGCAAATTTCTGTGCGGATTTTTAACTCGTGCAGATTAAGGAGTATTTTCTCATAACGGACCGAGATCGTAGTCGATAGATGGAGCCCTGACGGCGTCTGTGCTTTGCCTTCAAACAGGAATCAGGAAAAATGCGCTCGTGTTGTCTGACATTATTACTTCACGCTGTAGTAAAAGTAAATACATGTAAAGGCGTGAAAAAGAGACTTTACTTCCATTGGCATTTACAGCAGATGTTTATGTAAACAGTTACGGTGCTCAGTCACAATTTACAGGCTCATCGACCTCCTTCTTTCTCTCGATGAGCCTCAAACGCGCCAAAACATCGATCCAAACATCGGACGTATTGAACAAAACGGCTTCATTTCAGCTTATCAGTGATTCATTTGTTTTTTATCATTGGGCCCAGATTTTTATTTCAACCGTGTAATGTGCACTTTACAGGCCACAGCTGGGGAAATCCTTTCACAGCAGCTGGCACAACTAAGGTAAAACTGTTGAGGAATGCTTTAACAAGCTCACAGAGGATGATTTCCACTACATTCAGCTTTTTTCTCTGACATACAAGATTAAGGCATGAGGACCATAAAAGAGGTATGTTTTCTCATACATTCTCCGAGCGTTTGAACCTTACGTGTTGTTCTTTCCTCGCCGTTTATTTCCAGCGCTTAACCCATTTCCTGGAACTATTTGAACATGACAAGATAGGATGAAAATTTCTCTTTGCCTTACCTGTGGTTCCCGGGCCAGCTGTCTGTCAGTCTGTCACGCTCTCAGTTTTCTCGCTTTCTCGCGTTTCTACAGTGTGCCGCTCTCCGTTCTCCTTCCCCCCCCTTTTGCTTTCTTGCTACACGTCTTTATTTCTCTGCCTCTTTGGTCCTCCACTCTCCTTTCCTTTCCTCCCTCCCTTTTTCCACACTTCACCTCTAATTTTGTTGTTTTTTTTCTCAGAGTATCTTCTTTTTTTGCTTTATTTCACTTCTTCTCACTCACTGCCTCACTGTTACCCTTGCCTCTGTTTCTTTCTCTACGGATAATTTTTTTTTTCTTTTTCCAAACCTTCTTTTATCCCCCTCTCCTCTGTTTCTTCTTTTATCCCTGCTTAAGTAGCAGTACCTTGCCCTGCTGCTGGTAATGAAGACATACCGGGAGGTTTGGACTGGAGGCGGGACCAGCGCTGCAGTGGGTTGGGGGATGGGAAAGGTCAAATTATGCAGAGGATGAACAGATAAATGTGAACCAGACCCTCTTGTGAAGTGTTGTTTCTGCTAAGTGTTGCCAATATCAGAGGCCAACAACAGCCTCATATTCCTTTTACCTGTTAGAGCTGTCACTGATGTTATTCACTTATTTTGAGACTGAGTTTGTCATTTTCTGTAAATCCACTTTCCTTCAATCTGCCTTGGTTAGTTTTGTTTGTGATTTTTTCCCCAGACTGCCACTCTGGACATACATAAGCTTCTTCCCAATTCCACACAACACACTATGTATAATTCTAAGCAAGTTCTGAGTCTTTAGTATTTATTAAGTGACAAGAATTACTTGAATAAGACCATCGACATATATAGATGGATGTCACGTCTCCACTTCCTCCCACTGTACAAATATTAAGCTCAAATGTCCCGGATACGTCCGTCCAAACATGACTAGCTCTCAGCAAGGAGGCGGTGGGCTTTATGACCTATACTGCTGTCAGCCACCAGGGGGAGATCGATATGTTTTGGCTTTATTGTTGTTATGTTGTCCCTTTTTTTATCTATGTCAATGAACAAGACTATAGACTACAACTCTGTAAGGGCTGTACTTAGACGCTAATGCTAGCAAGGTAACACACCTGCAATAACAATGCTAACATGCTGATGTTTAGCAGGTGTTCACAATCTTATATTTAGCATGTTAGAATGCTAACATTCGCTAATTAGCACTAAACACAAAGTACACAGCTGAGGCTGATAGGAATGTCATCGGTTGTGTATTTAACCCTCGAGGCACCTTGGGGGACCACAAGTGTACATTCTGCTTATATTTTTTGATTCTCAATATATCGGTCAGTTTAAAGGCTAATTGTATTAAACTTGGCCAGGATTAGGTTTTTTATGGTATGTTGGGAGTGATATAAAAGCGTGTATGTGTGTGTGTGGAGAGAGGAGAGAGAGATGATCGAGGAGAGAGAGAGAGAAGAGGGAGAGAGAGAGAGGGAGATGAAATTTGGTGTTCAGTATCTTTGCTCAAGACACTTTTGATAAGTTAGCGAGAGCCGAGAATCGAACCAAAACTCTTCCGATGTAGTGACGACCGCTCTGCCTGGTCCATGGTCAGGAGGAGGAGGACCACATTGCCAGGGCCCTACAGAAAGCAGAGCAGTGCGTCTTGTGCCGACAGTGCAGAAGGGTGTGGAAACAGGTGCGCAAATGTTGGAGTACATGCATGGTAAAATGGCACTCAAGAGTTAATCCAGGTTTATGGATTTGAATGTGAACCACATCGCAATGTACAAAACACGACATCATATGAAAAAAGGGGATAAAACCAAAAAATATATTAAAAAAATAAAACTTATTATTCATGGTTTGGTCTGAAGTTGTTGAAAAGAGTGATCCGGGGGTGAAAGTTAAAAAAAAAAATGAATGATATTACATTTTTTTATGAGGACGGTCATGATGATTCCAAAAGTAATGTAATCCTAAGGGGGAACATAAGTAATTACATTTTATCAGTAAATGCTCATCCAATAGTTAGTGGAAGACATTTCACTTACAGCAGGTATGAGCAACGCTTGGCTTTCATTAAATTTACTTATTTATTAATATAATTAATTATATTAAATAATATAATATTTAAAAATAATTTAAAATATTTTAAATCCTTTGCAGCTTACGATTGGGTGTGACAAAGCGAATCATGCGAAGTTCCACGTGTAGACTCCTGCTTACACTAAATATGTCAATAAAGGCAACATGCTTATTCTTATGTTTACAGCCAAAAAATCAACTCTGGCTTGGTGGGCTGATTAGAGCAAAAGTCTGGATTATCCTTTCTGGCACCGACCACTTGCCACAAGTGCCGCCGGACGTCTGGGGCATGAGAAATTGTTTCAGATTCGAAATCAATGCAAGAACATACAATATATGGAATCTAATGGTAAAAATGTATTTTTAAATAAACATATAAAATTAACAACCCCGTTATAGTATAATAGTAGTAGCGCGAGCATTTGAGAATGTGCAAAAGCACTGATTGAAAATGTGTAAAGTGTATCTGTCTTGATATATAACACGTCTCAAACTCACACACACACATGCAGGTCTGGCCTAAGCTGGTTCCCAAACATCCAAATCAAAGGAATTGAAGCTCAGTGCTAGGAACGATCTGCATAACTGCGTTAATGGTGCCCAGTTAAAATCCGTCACTCAAACTTTGGTTGGGGAGGCGGAGTGGTTGCTTAAGGCCCAAGTATGCCTTGCCGGCTTGGAGACCTGTCGCGCGCACACTTTGTATGTCAAGAACTCAAGAGATAACGTAGATCTCGCTGGCGCCGCAGATTTTGGCGCCCGGGCTCGCGCTCGGAGGTGTTCGGCAGCCACTCTGGTTTTTTCAGCGCTGAGCGCGCTCCAACCGAAACGAGTAAGCTTTCCGGAGCAACCGGTGCCGCCGTCGTACAGGCGGATGCTGTACGATCATTCAATGAAGGAACAGACGAGATTTCAACTCCAACATTCTGAGAAATCGCCAGAATGTTTTTGAGGAACAGAGGGCCATATGGCGGAAAAAGAACTTCCGCGAGCCGATTTGAAAAATCAAAAAATGAGGCGCCCGGTTGTTACCTCTGGGTTTCTTCTTCTTCTAGTGGCGTAGAAAATAGCAAAAAGTCGGCTAGCCGTTGTGCCGTCCAGTTGCGCCACCTCTGTTCAGAGAAGACTGCAACTAGTGTCGCGACCACCACCCGCAGAGTATTAAGAGTGAGTTACGGCGCTGCCCGGTGGACGCCGAACTTGTCGCGCCCGACAGGTTCGGCTAGTGGCGGACGAGGTCTACAAGGACGCTTTAAGTGGTGTGGTCGTGTGTGGAGAGAGGAGAGAGAGAGTGTATGCTGTGTGAGACACAGTTGAACAATATGGAAGTTGTAGGCCTGCTGATCCTATGTTTTGGCCCCAGGGCAGCCGCTCAACACTTAAGAGAAGGTTCAATTTATGGATCCACGACCACCCTGCGAATAGTAATATACACCACGCGTACGACTCTCCGCATCGTACACTGATATCGTTCCACGACTATAAGCAGGTATGTAATATGTTAAAAGTTATTTCAAACACAAAGGGCTATGATTTACAACACACAGTAAGCCTGCCAATGTAAAACCTCTGAAAAAGTAATTTCGTTACAGCAATTCTGTCACAGTTCGAGCCCTGAATACAACGGAGCAGGCGGAAACAGCGAGCAACAGGGAAGGCAACAGCACCCTGCGCACGGATTCGGCCTAAAGAATGGCTCGATCACGTAATAATCACACAAGCTCAGTACCACATAGTCTAATGAATGGAAATCAGCAGTCTTGCCTATTGCTTTGGAGCCATCCATAGATGTAAACTATGAAGAGCCAAGACGTTGCTGCTTCAATCCACCAAATTAATTATTGGTAATACCACAGAGGGGAGCAAAACCATCGCGCCGGCGGCGCTGCGGCCATTGCAAAGAAGCTTTCAAACATGCGTTTGCGCTCATGCTTTTTTAGACAAATATATTTTTTTATGTATTATTTTAATTCACATTTTTAAGAACAACATTGAAAGATTAGACCTATTTGCAAAACATTACCTAAACGATAAATATACAAAAATCACAGACAATTTCTTGGGGGGGTGCTGGCGGGCATGTAGTGTGGAGCTACAGCACCACCTAGCTCCTCCCTGGCGCCGCCACTGGGGCCAGGCCTGCCCCTGGATGACCTCTGACCCCACCCCCACTCCTTTGCATTTGTCCCTTCCCCTCCAGTTGCTGCCTGATAATAATGAGCACAATTAGTTGTTATTAGTAATCGTTAGCGGCCTAGAAATCCATTATTTTAAAATTTTAAATACTTTAAAACCAGCTAACAGGGACCTTCTGCCCATACCTACGTGAGGCCGTAGCTGTGTAAGGATATATGCAGCTATACGACAGATTTATTTATTATTTATTAATGTCCAAATCCAGCTTCATAGATTTGGACTGAGCACTTTGTTTGTTTTAAGGTGGTCTGTGCAGGTGCAAAACTGTGTTTATTAAATCCTATTAAACGCCATATTGCACTAATACTACTACTTGTTATTCTCATTGTGATTGTTCAGGGAAAATAAGTGTCATCTCAAGGTAGTCCATACAATTTGAAAATAACTTCCTATTCCTTCTTTTTATTTCCGTTATATCTGTAAGGCTGCAGGCTACAGGCAACTTATGTCACAGGCCTACATTTGATAGAGCAATTAAAAGTACCCCAATGCGAATGAAAATCCATTGTATTTCAATCCCAACACAAACAGAAGTGATGTGTCATTTTCTTAAGAAGTGTCATCGGTTAAACATCATGTTTAATAAGCAATTCACTAATATAGCCAAAAGTATCCCACGGATATCTATCAATGTTAAGTGTTTTTTGAGTGGTTAAAGTGTTCCTGAGGCAGGGCCATGTGTGTCAACATAGCATTTTTTACTGGCAGGAAAAGTTGGCAAGAGCTGGGGAGAGCTGGGATGTAGAGTGAGATATATTTAATATATGATTGGGTGCCCAAAAACGAGAGTGACAACATCAGCGCCTTTCTGAAATTTTAGATTTTCAACTAGAAACGCTCGGAGCGGCCACACAGGAAAGCCGGAGTGCTCTGAAAATCCTGCATCCTCATTGGAACAATAGAAAAAGAAAAAAAAATGCCCTCACTTGGCATTTAAAAGAATCTTAAAATTGATCGTCAGTTTTGGAGGAAATAGCAAATCACACTCAGGACCAATAGACGCTGCTTGTGTCTGCTGACTCGCTTGATCTCTCTATTTTTTTTTAGGTCATGGATCAAAGGTGAATAATCCCAGCCTGTGCATTCATGCATACTATTGTACTATAATGAAGCTGTGTGCCTTGAAATTTCTTGGCAGG